ATTGGTATAATACAATCTATCCAACTAATAAAAACAAAATTCTACTTTTACAATTTTCCGTCCAAATTACCTTGAAGTTATTACTATATAAAATCTAATAATTATTATGATAATTAAGCTAATAATTACACAAATATTAGTATAATTGATTAATAATTATTATGATAAATAAGCTAATAATTAGACATATATTAATATAATTGACTAATAATTATTTTGATAATTAAGCTAATAATTTCCATAATAATAGTGTAACTACAATTAAATATAAGTCGTTGCCTTTTTTTTTTTATTTTATAATTACTACAATTAATATTTTGATAATATATATATAGGGAAAATTGTAATTTATGCCCCTCCATAATATGCTGATTATCAGTGTCATACTTGAATTATTAGTGGTGCAAATGTTGCCCATTACTTTTCAAAACGATAGATATAGTGGTCTCCCGTAGTGTAAATGTTGCCCCTCATTTTTTAAAATGATACATATATTGCCTCTCCTGTACGGTACGGGAGAGGCAATATATGTACTGTTTTGAAAAATGATGGGCAACATTTACACCACTAATAATTTAGGGGTAACATTGATAATTGACATATTATGGAGGGGCATAAATTACAATTTTCCACACACACACACGCACATATATATATATATATATATATATATATATATATATATATATATATATATATATATATATATATATATATATATCATGGACTCCCAAAACCTATTATTTTAGTCTTGTGTTTTTGTTGATTTTGATGTGTTGTTGGTGTTTTGATGCTTAGAAATGTTGAAGAATGCATGCTTATGTGTTTATTGTGAGTTAGTGTTGATATCTTATTGTTCATAATTGTTTGGAGAAGTGTTGAAAGTGTTTTGTGACCTAGAAGTGAGATTTTGCTCATTTGATGTAATCTCCCGAGCTCTCTGTTTTGACCTTTGGGAGCCTACCAACGGACCCCAGAGGGATCCGTTGGCAAGCCCCGTGGCCTAGCGGACCCGAGTGGCGAACCACGAACGGATCCGCCACTCAGGGCCGAGACTTGGCGGAGCCAAGTGGCGGGGCTCCTCAAGCTCCGCCACCTAGCCCCGCCAAGTTAGTCTGGAGAGGGCCGGGCCCTTGAGGCTCAGCCCACTTTGTTGTTTCGGATCGAGAATCGTGGGCCTTTGAGGCTCGGAGGCTCGGGCTCGTAACGACACGCTAGTATGAAATGTGCCTATTTGATTTGTGAGTAAAATTCACTTTTCCAAATCAAGGATGACTTATGATTTTTCCTAAGTGTTTATTGAGCACCTTTGAGCATGAAAGTTGAGTACCATGATTTGGATTTGGGTTATAAGATGAGTTGATTAAATGCTCCATTTGCATTCTCTAAGTTCATGAGTAGTGATATTGAAATGATCATGTGGTTTCATTTGCATGAGTTACTATTTCATAACCTTTTGTACATAAAATCTATGTTTTCATATTGAAAGCGTTTGCATACTTTAGATGGCCTATATTATGGCCTTAGGTTATTTTCAAAATCCGTATATGTATTTTGGAAACCTATATTTATATTCTTTTGAAAAGCTCGCATATCATTTAGATTTCCATCATGAAAAGAGAAGTTGCATGAGATATATGTGCTATCTATATGAAGTGAGGAAAACCTATATATATATATATATATATATATATATATATATATATATATATATATATATATATATATATTGGGTAGGGTTCTAGTAAGAACATGTGCTTAGGTGAGAACATGAGAACACATCATGTGCATCCATTTAATATTTTTTTAATGGTATAGATTAGATAAAGTGTGTGCGAACGCGCATTAAATGTGTGCAAACACACTTAATCGCGTTTGCACACATTTAATGCGCGTTCGCACACACTTAATCTAATCTAGACCATTGAAAAAGTATCATATGGATGCACACGATTTGTTCTCACGTTCTCATATATATATATATATATATATATATATATATATATATATATATATATATATATATATATATATAAAAGTAGGTATACTCATCAACAAATGCAATATCAACATACTTCTAAGATAAACAATATGCAAGAGATTCAAGTATCAAGCAAGAACATACTATCTTACTAGTGCTCACAACAATATAACATACTTTAGTTATCATGTACTCATGACAAGGCATATAACATAGCATATACCTTGTGATGAGTACATGATAACTAAAGTATGTTATATTGTTGTGAGCACTAGTATGATAGTATGTTTTTGCTTGATACTTGAATCTCTCGCATATTGTTTATCTTAGAAATATGTTGATATTGCATTTGTTAATGAGTATACCTGCTTTTATATATATATATATATATATATATATATATATATATATATAGATATAGTATCCATACTTAGGATTTATTGTTGGATTGTCTTATCGCCTACATGTATACTCGTATTTGAATGTCAACCGTTTACCAAAATCTATATCTATAGTTATGTTACATGGTTGAGTGACTTTATACTTAGCATTTTTATGCTAACGGGATTATTTTCATATGTGTTTTTATAACCCCTTTCAGGTGGACTTAATGCATGACGAGAGCATGCATTATAGTGTGGTCATTGTGGTGTGTAGCTCTAGGGCTTAGTAGATGCTAGCCTTAGTTATCCTTCCTTTCTTTTGGTGATTGATGTTAGATATTGATGTAGCTAGACTACCATCTTTTGGTTGGTGCGTAGACACCGAGGTTCGTATACCCCTTGATGATGATGTTTCGAGCCGTGACTCTTTTATGATTGTAGACTTAGCCTGTGCAATTACTCGAGGGTGAGTAACTGTCGCGATAACACTCTCTAGTTTGTTGACTTTGGGATTTTTTTTTATATATATCATAGTTTATCATTATTTTCCTTGTTTTTTTCTTTTTAGACTGCTTAAATCTAGGCTTTAAAGTTTAGAAAAAGGGGTTGTTACATTAAGTCTCGTTGGTAACATGATTAACTATGTTTTATTTTATTAAGTTCCTTAGTTTATTTATTTATTCTCTGGGCCGCCATTCTTGGGCTGGTCTCTTGGGCTTTTTATTTATTTTATTGGGCCTCACGCCCTTGACAATAAGATTATTATTTTCCTACCCCCAATTTTGTACCTTGATACCCAGTTTATGGTGGACCCGGTTCCAACAAAACCATCATCGGCTCCGTCCGTGGGGAACGCTATGAAAAGCCTGTGTTCCTAGTTTCTACTTGTTTTACCCTCTCTTATGGCCTCGGGCTCCTTGCACTGGACCCCTCCTTGGTGGTGAGCTCATTCCAACTCGTGGAGTGCTGAGCGAGGTAAGGCTAGGGGATGATTTGCTTGAGTGTTCGGGTTAGTGGCCGGCTACGAAAATCGTTTGGGTTCCGCCGATGGTAATGCTTGCTCCGACGGCTATAGTGTTAGTTGGACCTCTCATGTCCCCTGGGTGGAGAACTGACCCTCGCGAACCGGATCTACACTCGCCTTTCCTGCTAAGGCATTCTTGTAAGTTCCAGGAATTCTTGTTTTGTGACTCGGTCATTTGGGCGTATCTCGGGTTTGATTGCGTAAAGGGAAAGGGTAAAACAGGTTGAAACTAGGAACGCATGATTTTTAACATCATATGAAAGTCAAACTCATTTCAGGTGAAGATCAAGCGGCACTTCAACTAGCCTGCATGATCAACACCCTACTTCTTAAAACACTCTCAGGTCGAATGGTGAAATCGAGGTTTACTTAAAAATCATCTTCCTAGCCAGAATATTCAAGAATGATGACTCTTCCATGTGACCAAAAACGGGTAGAAACTGGGAACGCATGTTTTTCGTTGCCTTCCCCACAGACGACGCCAATGATGGTTTTATTGGAACCGGGTTCACCATAAACCAAGTATATTGGTATAGAACGAGGGTAGGAAAATAGTAATATTATTACCTACGGCGCTAGACCCAAAAGAATACGTACAAAGCCCGAGACACCGACGCAAAACGATGGCCCAAATAATAAATAAATAATACAAGCTATAACAAAAATAATTAAATAAAAATAGCAATGTTACCGCTAGGAATCAAACCCTGGTATGCCAGCCGGAGGTAGAAGACTCAAACCAATGAACCCGAAGGGGTTTAGTGCCAAGAAATGCCTTTTAAAGGGAGGGAATGATGCCTATTTATATTGTTGAAGGACTCACAGATGATTGACAAATGGACGACATCGGGCAACCTTCATTATTATTGGCCACACACGTGTTCCCCCACTACTTTGCTTCCAGCGCACTCCCATGCATGAGTGGAGCTTCCTACCCTTTAATACACAGGATCTTGAGTGGCTTGGTGGTTTGGAACTTATGTTGTTATGCTTGAGATTGTGAGTTTGATACCCTTTAGTAACAATTCATATAATATTTTGCTCCAAGCTTCCTTCTTTCCTTAGTCCAATAGATTTTCATTATTCGGCCAACACCTCACCCATAAAGATCAATCATTATTGTGTGGACTATATTTTGTATGTTATAAAATGATGTATATTTAGTACAAAAGTAATGTACACTTAGTATATTAATAATGTACATTGTATTTATGAAAAGTACATTATTTGAGTACTAAAAGTACATTATTTTGTATAATGTACATTCTATACACAAATAATGTACATTTAATATATTAATAATGTACTTTTTGTTATGATCCACACAACACTGTGTAGACCATGGTCCACACAATAATTTGCCCATAATAAAGATAGACACCTCGCTTGATTAGTCAGCAGTTATACTTTGTCCAAAATACACAATTACATGCTGAATGTTCACAATGTAAATTGTGGACATTCAATATGTAAATTGTGAACATTCAATATGTAAAATTGTGTAATTTTGGATTCGGGTCCACCTTGGTCCACAAAATAATTTGCCTTGATTAGTTTATTTTTGCAATTTTTCTATAAGATGTCAAGTAAACAAATTAATAACACAAAACTAAAAAAAATGATTACAAGACACTCTTTATTTTGAATCACAACTTAAAGCAAAACACATGAAAACTAATAAAACACTACAGTCTACAGGTCACTCTTTATTCGAACTACTAGATTAAAAAGAACATTAAAGAAACACCATCATCCGGATCAAGTAAATTCTTTTCTTTTCTTTTGCAAGTTCACATTGGATTAACCAGCATGGAGGTAATGAAGTCCTTCATCATGGCATTGGAATGTGTATATGAATCTCTATCATCATATATATAGTCTAAAGCTCTTGTAAGGTTGAGAATTCGGGTGAGTATAGGCATAGGACAAATGATAGGCTTAAGACATTCTTGATTAATATCTTTCCATGCATTAGTGACTTGTTCTAGCAACTCCTTGATGGTCTCTTCTTTCGATTTCCCATACTCTTTCATATAGATTTCCACTGCAGAATCTATGTGCTCTCTTTATTGTTCAAACTACAAAATAGTACAAAAGAGGAAATTTCAATTTTGGTCATATGACTATATGGGTCATGTTAATTTTAGTCCTTGACTTTCAAAAGTGTCAATTTAGTACTTTAACTATGTAATTTTTGTCAATTTTGATCACTCCGACCAAATTGCCGGCCAAATTTTGCCGGAAAATTTTAATAGTTAAAATAATGAGGGTATTTTGGTCGTTTCACACCTCTTTTCTTCTTCTCCGGCGAGTCCATCCCTTTCTCTCCCGTTTCCGGCGTTCTTTCTCCCTGTAAACCCTATCTTTAATATCATCAAGCCTCCTTTCCCCATCATCTTAGTTCATTGCATTCGCCGAAAACGGGAGAGGAAGGGATGGACTCGCCTAGGAACACTACTGGAAATTATGAAATTTCCGACCACCTGAAAATTATCTTAAATCAAGTCGAAAGCCTTGTTCCGACCACTTTTGGTATCCGGAAAAACCTTTGTTGCTATTTCCGACCACTTTTTGGTATCAACTTGATTTAAGATCATTTTCAGGTGGTCGAAAATTCCATAATTTCCAGTAGTGGAAGAAGAAAAGAGACGTGAAATGACCAAAATACCCTCATTATTTTAACAATTAAAATTTTCCGACAAAATTTGACCGGAGTGACCAAAATTGACAAAAATTGCATAGTTAAGATACTAAATTGACACTTTTAAAAGTCAGGGACTAAAATTAACAAGACTCCTATAGTCATAGAACCAAAATTGAAATTTTCTCTAGTACAAAATCAGTAATAGTCAATATCTTATTAGGTGTAATTAACTAGTGAATAAATGAGTTGTGATATATTATATTGAATGTCACTATATAGACTAAAAATATAGATAATCAATTTTTGAATAGATAACCAATTGAAAATCTTAATTGAAGCCAATATGAAATTGTTAGTATTTTCAAAGAATGGAAAATCAAAATTAATACCTCGTGTCCAGTTGTGTCATTCAACAATCTGGCCATGAGTGAAGAAGCTTGAACAATTAAAGGCTCGCTACTCATCCAATCCAAAACCTCTTTGGTTACAAAATCTTCTTGCATGCCTACTAAGGAAGTTGTTGCTAACATCTGATAACCGCCAGATAAGCATGCAAGCTTAATGTATTCCTCAAATGTTGGATTATGACCATCATGGTACCACGTTCTTTCGAGCAAATATGCTCCCACTAATTTTTTCATCTGAACTCATATGGGAAATCAAAACCTTAATTAAGATTTAATGTTATATATCCTCGAAAGTTTGTCTAGTTTTTCTTAAATTGTTATAATTAGTACTATACCTCAATTCTAGCATAATTGACACGGTATGATTCACCTTTATCAGCTAATTCTTTCTCGATTTCAGCATAAGCATCAAGAAGATAAATGTAGCAAAACCTCATATATTCTGGTAATTCATTTACTACACTAGCATCCCATCTGCATGCATAGCAAAAAAGTACATATTTGTATGTGTTTTATGAACCCTAGTTTTTCAACCATTATCATATAAAAATAAAATGAAAGTTTCAAATAATCAAGACTGATAATATAAATTTGAACCTTTGGACTGCATCTTTGAAAATCTTGAGCTCATCAAGGGTTCCATAAACATCATAAATATCATCAATAATTGAAGCGATACAAAGAACTTTAGAAAGAAATTTCCTTGCAAGATAATATTTTGATTCAAAATACACTCCCAATGCCCAAAAGTAACATTCCACCAATCTGTCTCTTGCAAAAGGAAATTTATTTGGGACATCTAATCCTTTCCACCACCTGCATGACAATAAATATACAAATTATTTTACCATGATTAATTTACATCCTCCCAAATGCTCTGTCGGGTCGGGGTGTGGGGGACCCTTAAGGTTGGGGTTAAGCCTTTTGGAAGAATAAATATACAAATTATTGTTACGTCATTTCCGAAAAGAATTATCCTCTCCGATCCCATTTAATTTTATGTATAATTGACACACAGTTTATATATATATATATATATATATATATATATATATATATACCACTGTTCAAGTGAGTCTACCCCTTTCCATGAGTCCATGTGTGGACAGATTTGGCCCATTAAAATCTAGAAATCAATGGTCAGATTTAGTCCATTATCAACTGTAAAACTGTGCTACTGTGCAAGTGTAGTTACACAGTTGTACAGTTGATAATGACTATCTCTAGCCTTTAATGTACCAGATTTGTCCACACGAACTCATGGGGAGAGGTGGACTCATTTGATCATGAGTATATATATATATATATATATAATTAAGCTAATGGAGTAAGTATTTTTGTCTTTGCACGCACACGTGAATGCATAGACACACAGACATGTATACATGACATGCATGCTCAAACTAGCACATTCATATATCTCAAAAACTTTACCTTGTAAGATTGCCAAGCTCCCATTGATGTTCCTTCTGCAACAAATTGAAGTCCAATTTTGCAAATTTCAGCAATAAAGCATCTTGTGTTCCATTTGGCTCAAAATTTGATATGAATCTTTGTGCGTCTAGCCTTATTAATCTCTTGCGAATCGGCTGCTTTAGTGCTTCACTAACTTGTGATCTAAGAGGATTGGTCATGTTTGGTAGCATGGATTTTAGGTGAAAAGTGGTAAATGTTAGTGCTTCCTCTAAAATCTGCTCCCCATGCACTCTAAGATGTGATGCTTCATACAAGCTCAACATTGCTTGAACATTGTTTATGTCGACCAATGATTCCTTGAACTTTCCATTGCTATTTTTGAACTTTTGAAACACATCTGTTGAAACATTGAATGAAAAATGTATTAATTAAAACTCTAGAGCATGATCGTAATCTCACCAATTTATTCAACATATTTAATTCATATACTTAAGGGAAAATTGTAAAAAAATGTCACTCTATAATATGTCAATTATCAATGTCACCCTTGAATTATGAGTGGTGTAAATGTTGCCCCTCAATTATCAAAACGGTGCACATATAGCCCCTCCCGTAACGGACCTGTGGTTCCCCGCCGCTGTCCATCGCTGGTACTTCGGATCGAGGGAGGGAAAAAACAACTAAATTACATATTTACTCCGACTTAACGGTGTCGTACACTAATGGGGAACCACATGTCCGTTACGGGAAGGGATATATGTGCACCGTTTTGATAATTGAGGGACAACATTTACACCACTCATAATTCAGGGGTGACATTGATAATTAATTGGCATATTATAGGGAGCATTTTTTTCAATTTTTCCTATACTTAATTCGTTAGGAGTATTTCATTTCACACTCACTAGCTGATACGTGGTACCCTTCTTGTCTTAGTAGTCGAAAGCGCAAAGATACAATCAAAAGATCATTCTCATCTTCATTAGTGTTGATCTCATCATAGGCCATGAATATGTGTTCCAATGAAGTTCCAATCTCCTTTTCAAATTGATAACACACTCCTAAGCGATGAATCTTGTTAATCAAGTGCAATTTATGGGAAGAAATGTGTGTGGCTTCCACAAGCATGTTCTTCAGCTTTTCTTTTAGTTGTTGATGCTCTAGCCATTCTTGTGTATCCACTTCCTGCATATGTATATGTATACAACACTTTATTTTTCTAAACCAATAATGTATTACTGTACTGATAAAAAAAAAAAAAAAAAAGTTAGGTTAGGCAACTAACACTAAGGTGGAGATAGGTGAACTATATCTAGTTAGTGTTTACTTGTATACTTCACCAATTTGAAAATTAAATAGATTTAGCGGATAATGAAAAATTGGAAAAATGAAAAATTGGTGGGTTCAAAAGATTTGTAGGTTACCTTGGGTCGAGAAGAATAAGTCAGGAAATAGTCTCCCCAAACACTTGGATGAAAATCAGCAGAGCGACGGATAACTTGATTCAATTGAGTTTGGTTTGATAATGGAAGAGTTAATAAGGGTCGATTAATGCCAGCCATTTTTGGTAAGAAGTAGAGAGAGGTGAACAACTTAAGTAAATAGGAAACAAATCAAGACCAAAGGAGAAGGTTTTTCATGTATATATATTTTTGGAGGTTCCTCCCTATTTATAACATACTTTGCTTGCTTGACCCTTACATTGTTGTGTAAGAAACCTTAGCTATTGGATGAATTGCGAAGCTAACTTTTTCTTCTTTAGAAAATAAAGTTGTAAGAAAATGGCAATTGCTTTTATTTAAATAAATGGCAACTGCACAAACTATTTGTGACAATTATGATATATATATATATATATATATATATATATATATATATATATATATATATATATATATATATATATATATATATATATATATACATAAAAAAGAGCCAAGAGAGTTATGTCTATATTGGGTAGAAAAAATGACGGTCAAATTTTTTAATCAAATGAATGGCTCAGATTGATCAGATTTTAATTTTTCCTTGAGATTATCTGTTAATTTATCCTTAATGAATATGATTATTTGTTAATTTTTCCGTTAAATATTATTATCTTTTCCGTTAATTTCTGTTAGTTCACCGTAAACTTACTCATTGATTTCAATATGAAAGGTTTTAGGTTCGAACCACATCCCAATCAAAGTTGGCATAATTAGTAGTTTAGTACTTTATTTTACTCTTATTAAATTAAAATAATAATTTAGTAAACAAAAAATAATACATATGCATTTCTTTATTTTAGAATTATGTGTCTACAATGCCTTTATTTTTTTTTTTAAATATTCATTATCAATAAATTAAATAAGAGAAATAATTTCATTAGTTATATTGTCTTTATTTTTCTCCAATATAAAAATTCTTTACATTCAAAATTCAAATTCAGCAATTGATTATATTTGCTACATTGTCCCTACAATGTCTTTATTAAAAAAAAATCATTATCAATAAATTAATTAAGAGAAATAATTTCATTAGTTACATTGTCTTTATTTTTTTCCAATGTAAAAATTCTTTACATTCAAATTCATCAATTGATTATATTCACTACATTGTCTATTATCTTTTTTGTGCACTATTTTTTAATTAAATATCAAAGTTATAATACAAAATAATGTTATATATTTATTTACCAAGTATTCTATTAATACCATGAAAAATTTTAAAAATTTTAAATTAATAAAGCAAATTATATTAACTACTTGAGAGATTTGTTGACAAAGAGAGTATTCAAATCACACAACAAATTGAAGTGAGAAACTACCCCGCAATGTCCTTGTTTGACAATCCGCAGTTAGCGGTTAGCGTTAGCGGATTATATTAGCGAATTTGACCAGTGAATCATATCAACGGTTGGTAAAAAGATATTTGAAAAAATTAGCTATTTAAATTAACATTTAAAATGACCTAAGGGTATAATAATAACAACAACAACAACAACAACAACAACAACAACAACAATAATAATAATAATAATAATAATAATAATAATAATAATAATAATAATAATAATAATAATAATAATAATAATAATAATTGTTTTAATAATAATTTTTTTTTAAAAAAAATATAGATGTGTTTTGGGGAAATCATTCTCAAAAACGTTATGAAAATATTGTAAATTGCAATGTTTGTATTTTCAGTGGTTTGGAAGCAATTGTTGCTTCAAACGGTTGAATAACCAAAACACTTTAGCATTTTGATATTTGGGTTACATCACATTTACCAATAGTCCAATATCTTTGGGTTACATTATAATTAAAATTTTAAATTTTTACTACACCTAAATTCCTTAAATTAGGAATTTCTTTATCCATAATAATTTATTCAACAATAATGGTTGAACTAAATGAACACTGAGCAAAACATCTAAAGGACTGGTACCGTTGATTCATTCATTGATCTTGTATATATGTGCATTCATTAAATATATTAGAACCCATTGCAACAAAAATACTTGGTTACTATTTAAAAAAAGTTTAGTAACAATTATAATGAATCTCCTATATTACATTGTATTCATATACTATGAATTACATATTTAAATAAACAAATTAGACATTAAATTACTTATGTTGAACTTCTCATATATAATCTTGCATTTCTATACTTTCAAATATTTATTTAATTATAAATATTGGATAGAAAAAAATGACCGTCAAATTATTAAATCAAATGAATAGTTTATATTGTTCAGATTTTAATTTTTCCTTCAGATTTCCTAATTTATCCAATCCGTTAACTTTTCCTTTAAGTACCGTTAATTCACTGTTAGTCTAATTATAATATTAAAGTCTAATATAGAATTATAACTACAACATTAATCTAATTCAAATATTAAAGTCTTAATAGAACTCTAACCACAAATCCTATTGCCGGAATCTCCTCAAACAATATTAGTATATATTTAATATTTTATGTTTTAATTTTTATTTGCTCTCCCTCATGTCCCGTATTTGGTTTCAACCATACCCATACAATTATTTTATTGACAATTATAATCAATCTTGACTATATTATCTTGCATTTGTAAACTTAGAATTACCAATTTAAATACACAAATTCAACATTCAATTACCTATGCATGAACAATTCTAATAGAATCTTGCCTTGATATACTTTAAAATACTTATTTAAGAAAAACATTGGGCATTATCCCAATCGCGCAATGCGCGTAAAAACTAGTATATATATATATATATATATATATATATATATATATATATATATATATATATATATATATATATATATATATATATATATATATATATATATATATATATATATATATATATATATATATATATATATATATATAGGGTTGAGTTCAAATGAGGACAACAATATATAGAGGACTGTGAGGACAAATAATGGGCACACAACAAATTAATACCAGGCACACAACTTAATACATAATGGCACAGAAGAATAAACTATATATATATATATATATATATATATATATATATATATATATATATATATATATATAAACTATTAAGTGAATGTGTCTAATGCTCTTAATTAATGATTTATACTCCATACTATTAGGACTCAATCTATGTATTTGAGTCTACTTATGATTCCCAATCCTAGTCTCCCTCTGTCTCCTCTTTTATATATACTTAGATCTTGTACTCTTGTAATAAATCACTTTTAATACAATCAATTATAGTTTTCATATGGTATCAGCTAGCTAGGATTTCTATCTAATGGCCGACGGATATGCCAATTCTTCTAAACGGACCGTTTCTGATGCTCCTCTCTCAGGTTGTTTCAACCGTAACCACCCTCTCCACGGCTCATCGGAACTTCTTATTTTGGAGGGCTCAAGTTGTTCCTTTTCTCAACGGACATGACCTAATGGGTTTCATTGATGGATCAAATCCCTGCCCACCGGCCATGATCTCGTCCGGCGAAGAGGGGGCACCGCCTCTGCCGAATCCCGCCTATGATCTGTGGGTTCGTCAAGATCATGCGATTCTCCCTATGCTCATGTCATCGTTGTCTGATGAAGTTATGTCATTGGCTATCGGACATCACACCCGCCGTGCAGTGTAGACTGTCGTTACCTCTGCACTTGCCTCTTCGTCTCGGTCTCGCTCGTTGAACCTCCTCGAGAAACTTCAGATGTTGCAGCAGGGTGATGCCTCCGTCACTGATTATATCGGTCGGGCATAGGTTCTCATTGAAGACCTAACTCTTGCCGGCCGGCACCCTCCACTTGAAGAACAAAACCTATACGTATTCAGGGGTTTACGACCTGAATTTCGGGGTCTTGTCTCTTCTCTCAATGTCCAAGGAAAACTGGTAACACATCATGAACTCACGGATCTCTTTGGGGCCGAGGAGTTCGTCGCCGACAGTGGAGGCCCGTTGCCGGCAGCCTTTTTCGTTTAGAAATTCGGGCAGCAGCAGCGCGGCAGGGGTAGCCAGTCGCGTGGCGGAGGTGGCCGTGGTTATGGCCGTGGCAGTAGGAACGATAATCACCAACCTAAGTGATGCATACCCCTAAATCGGACACCCGGCCGAGAAGATGAGGCCAGGCGGTCAAGTGCGGGCACGATGCAATACTTAGCAAATGGGCAACACTCGCAATTCTAGGAAGAGCAGTCGGAGATCATAGCCAGCTAAGTCCTAATGACCAACCACCAAGGAGAGCGGCTGCCCGCCCAAGTAGAGGTCAGTCAGCTCGAGTAAAGCGATTAGCCTCGATAGCTGGTGTGTCCCTAACTGAATGCCTTAGGAAATTCGGATAGGCGACCAGGATTTGTAGGCAGCGTGTCCATGACCGGATACCACTCAAGAGATCAATCGGGTGACCAGGCTCCACGCTCGGGGTGTCCTCGTGATATGATCTTAGTCCAAGGTTCAAATAAGATGGAATATTGTCCCAAGAATGCTCTCAAAGTAAAGATAGAGATGGATCAAAATACCTTAAACCTTACGAGAAACCCTTTGTCTCGAATCCTCAAAGACTTGGAAGAATCCCATTTAGCTTCAAGTACCTCGATGTTGCAATCTTCAATCAACTAGAGTCGGATCTAGTTTCCTTCGATTCAAGAACGAGTCCACGAACCTAAATCTAAGGTCGAAGAAAGTAAGATTGATTCGAGTCCACGAATCAATTTGCTAGTCGAGTCCACGACTAGCCACTAATTGAGTCCACAATTAGCCATAAGGTTTCTTACACAAGTGTAAAGAAAAACTTAAGAATTTTATTGAATTAAAGCCTGTCTAAAACTGATATGGATGTGCCCTATTTATAGGTATAGGGCAGCATTGTAATCTAAATACAATGGGAAAAAGAGTCCTAAACCTAATCTAGAAAACAAGTAAATAGAGTTTTATTTAGAATAGGATTTAAGGAATCCTTTCTAAATACAACTAGTGTTTTCTCTTTTATGCCAAACAATTTAAATTAATGATGACCAAAAATAATAGGGCTGATTTGGGCCTAATTTAATCACCAAAATCAGCACTTAAACAATTATAAAAAAGCCTTGAGTTATTCTTCATATTTTGCAAATGGGCTTGACTTGGATTTCCACCATCTTTGAACATCACTAATGAAGAGTTGCCTTAATTGTTTGGACTTGGGCCTTGTGATTGGCTCAATTAGTATTCTTAATG